ACAACAGGGGTATTTTGATATTTTTTTTAAATAGTAAAATTACACATGTTTCCTTGAATTCAAGAAATTTAAGTAATTGGAGTTAGGAGTATTATGGTCTTTTAGCCTTTTTTTTTTTGTTAAGTGTAGGTTTAATTTAGGGTAATAATATAATTTATTATTTAAATCATATTCTTTAAATTTGAAAAAGTTATTGGTGGGAGTCGTCATGCACTTTAGACGGCGCTTATAGCGACTCTTAATGATAAAAAATAGGCTTTCACTATATTATTTTATTCATTGTTGTCTCATCTTCCATTATGGGTGACTTTTCAAATATGAATAGTTTATTGTTAGTGATCCTTTCTTCTTTTTTTTCCCCTGACTTCTCTCTCCTACTTGTAGAAATGCACTATGGTCCTTATTATTATTAATATTTCAGATTTAATCCTTTTAGTTTTGATTTTTTGATTTTTGTCATTTTTTCTTTTGTTAAGTGTCTAAGAAATAATGAGAAAGATGAAGACAATTAAACTAGTTTTAGCTTACGTGAAATACATATATATTGTTTGTTATAATTCTTCGTTAATGAAAATTCATAAACATGAATAATTGTATTGTGGTGGTGGTGGTGGTACTTCATGGTTTTTTCCAGATTGGGTGTTTCAATCCAATGAATCGAGTCAAATGTTTAGAAAGTTAATGTATATTTTTTTAAAAAAAAAGGTTTATAATTGTTTTATTTTTTTATTAAGTTATTCCAATCACATGATCAAGACCCTGGATTTGATAATATATCTTTGTGTTGTTTTAAACTAATTAGCGTTGTTATAGGTTTATCATGATTAATAATAATAAACTAAATGTCTTCTTTTATAGGCCAAAATTGAGAATTATTGATTTGATGACTAATTGATGAGTAGGTGGTCAACTCTTGACTTTATGACAATCCTTATCTTCTATTGTCTGCCCAAAACATCATTGTAATGTTAGAATTAGAACCACTTAAAAGCATGAAAGTTGTAGGAAATTATCTCAGCATTCTAGGAAAAAAAAATAGAGGTCATTTGAACTTCTAGAACTCCAGATATAGGTCAAACACTGAACAGTGTTCGGGTTGCAGGACAGATTCAGACTTCTTTGTTATTGCTACAATTTGGACTTAAAAATGGACTTTTTAAATCTTGGGCTTCAATAAAAATTATAGGCTTATGTCTTACTTTTCAATCTATATAAAGTAGACCTAAATCCGAGATCTACAGCTCCAGATATGACCCAATTATCGAGCAATGTTCCGGTTTGGACTGCACCAACATCTCTTTTCTAAGTTTGGCCATCTCTTTGTCCTTTCAATTTCAGTTCTTAAACTCATTAATCAATCCTTTCATTTATGTGATAGACCTACATTTAAAATGAACATTTACCACAAATTAAAGGTATCTTATATTATAAGATATGTTATTATAAAACATACTTTAGTTAAGGAGTTATTGATACTTCAAGTGCAAAATGATGATATAAAACCTTGATACAAATGTACTTTTATGTGCTAATCACTCGACTTGCAAGTTTTGTGGGTTAGCCATGTTGACTCAGTATTTTTTTTGTTTTTTTAATTAAATATTTTTTTTCAATTTCAACCTTCAACATTGAATTAATTGAGAATTTGACTTTATAATTGTTTTTTTATTTGCTTTCTGAAGTTATTCTAATATTTTGACCCGAGTTTGACAAATTAACCCGAGTTTACTAGAGTAATTTTTTTTTGTTCTTTTTCAATTTTTTCACTTTAATCCTTCAAAATTGGGTTGATTAAGGATTGAGATTTATAAATTTTTTATTTACTTTCTATAAAGTTATTACGGTCTAGGTCATGATTTAGGTCGATTGACTCGAGTTTTTTATTTTCTTTTTTTAGTTGATTTCTTTTTAATTTTATCCTTTAATATTGGTTTGATTGAGAATTCAGCTTGATAATTTGTTTTGGTTTGCATGTTGTGAAGTTATCTCAGTCTCAAGACCCAATTCACAAGTTTGGTTGGTTGACTGATGTGGTTTTTTATGTTTTTTTTAGTTGATTTTCATTTTTAATTTTATCATCTTGATTGTAAATTGAGTTTCATAATTTTTTTCAATTTATATTCTATAGGATAATCTCGATCTCGGAATCTAGTTTTAACAGGTTAATCAGAGTTGACTTGGATCATTTTCTTAGTTGAATTTTATTTTAATTTCATCATTCAATATTGAGTTGACTAAGAATTAAGTTTTTCTTTTATTTTCTTTTTATTGAGTTATTAAGGTCTCATAACTTAAGTAGCAAATTTGTCAAGTTAACCTGAGTTGATCCGAATTGATCTAATATGTTGTTTTAATATTTGAAAAAAGATGTCATCTTGATTTTTTTTAAGTTAAACTATGTTTTTATTGGTTGTTCGGGTTGTTTTTTAATGTGTCAAGTCAACCAAATCACATCAAGTCAATCCTTATATAGTTTAAAAAATTATAAAAAACACATTAACAATATCTAGATATCTTTTTTTTTTGTTAAAAAAATTAATATAATTCACAACGTAACATGAGAAATGATCTAGTTAACATATATAAAATAGCTTGGCTTTTCACTGTAGCAAATGAATAGTAAAAAGCCAAGCATTTTTTTGCTTTGGTCTTTTAAATTTCTTAGGACTTTATTTTTAATTTTAAACATTTTTTGTTAAATTTTATCCTCCAACAATGCGTTTAATGGATATGGAACTTCATAATTTATTTTTATTTCTATGAAGTTATCATTGTCTTATGATCTAAATAACGAGTTTTGGAGGTTAATCATATTGACTCAGATCTCTTTTTTCTTTTGTATATTGTTTAATAATTTTTTTTTAATTTCATCCTTTAATATTTGATTGATTGAGAATCAAAATTTATAATTTTTTTAGTCTCTTTCTATGGAGTTATCATAGTCTTCTGACCTAGATTTTGCAAGATAACTCGGGTAATTTTTTGTCCTTTTTTTATTTGATTTGTTTTTCAATTTAATCCTTTAAAATTGATTTGATTAAGAATTAGAATATATATATATATATTACGAGGTTATCACAATCATATGACTTGAGTGGTGGGTTAGACCGATTGACTTAATTTTTTTTAGTTGAATTTTTTTAAATTTCATCCATCAATAATAGATTAATTGAGAATTAGACTTCATAATTTCCTCAATAATAGATTAATTGAGAATTAGGCTTCATAATTTATTTTGATTTGCATTATAAGGTCTCATGATTCGGTGAGTTTGGCTGGTTGACTCGAATAGTTTTTTGTGTTTTTTTCCAATTAATTGTTTTTTAATTTCATCCTTCAATATTGAGTTGATTAGAAATTAAATTTCATAATTTATTTTGATTTTCTTTCTATGAGGTTATTCTAATCTTATGACTCTTGTTTGAAAGGTTAATCCAAGTTGACATGACTTATTTTTTTAGTTTAATTTTGTTTTTAATTTTATTATTTAATATTAGGCTGATTAAGAATTTGGTTCAATAACTTTTTAATTATCTTTTTATAGGGTTATCAAGATCTTATCACCTGATTAATAGATTTTTTAGATTGATCCGAGTCAATACAATAAGTTGTTATTTTAATATTTTAAAAAATATGTTGTCCTAATTTTTTTTTTTAAGTCAAACTATATTTTTATTGATTATTTAAATTGAGAGTTTTCAAAACTTTACAGTGTTACGAGAATTTAAATTTAAAATTATGTTATACGAAATAAATATACAAAAATCTTATAATTTTTTCATGGATTTATTGTTAACCCATTCGGAAGTAAACTTGAACATAATACGTGAAAGATGAATCCACCCTCCTTTTTCCTGGGGGAGGGGGGGGGGGG